CCCCCCCCGGCCCAGCCCTGTGCCCCCCAGCCCTGCCGGTGCCCCTCACTCCCGTCCCGCAGCCCCCCCCGGCCCAGCCCTGTGCCCCCCAGCCCTGCCGGTGCCCCTCACTCCCGACCCGCAGCCCCCCTCAGCCCAGCGCTGGATCCCACCCTTTGGGTCACTGGCTCTGCCAGCCGGGCCGAGCTTCGCTGGTGTCAGAACCCAGGAGGCAGCTGTTGCCCTGGGCTGGGAACTGGCTCTGGGAGGGGAGTGGGGTCTGGTGGTGAGAGCTGGGTGGGGGGCTGGGAACCAGGACTCCTGGGTTCTCTCCCCAGCTCTGGGAGGGGGGCTCCCAAGTCTCTGCCGGGAGGTGATGGCAGCCCGGTTCTAACCGGGCGTGAGGGGAAATTCCAGGGGAGCCGAGGTCCTGAATCCCACGGCCCCGTCCCTGACCCCACCAAGGCCCATAAGGAGCCTTCTCTGTCTGGCGACTTCCAGCCCCAGGATGGAGGATCTGTCTGGCTCAGCGGGGGGCACCAGGCTGTAGGGGGCTCAGTGGGGGGTGCCGGGCTGCAGGGGGCAGGGAGGCAGGGAGGGGGGCACCGGGCTGCAGGGGCAGGTGGGGGGCACCGTGGGGGGTGCTGGCTCTGTCTCACTCCCCCGACCCCCCCCAGGATGCCGTGGGGGTGTCTCCGGCTGCGGGAGGAGAAGAACTACAACTCCGTGGGCGACATCACGGACAAGTACGAGATCGGGGAGCTGCTGAGCGCGTGAGTATCTGGGGGAGGCCCTGCTCCCCACAGCCCGGCCCACAAAGACTCCCCCTCCCACAGCGACCCGCTCCCCAGCTTGCGCACGTGCCTCAGTTTCCCTGAGGTGGGCAGAGGAGGGAGGGGGATAATTTTACCAGACTCCAGGGGAGCCCCTCCGAGGACATCTGGCACTGGGAGGGGATGAACGGGGTAGGGGGTGGGGCAAAAGGGGCGGGACGGGGCCCCTCAGTTCTCCGGGGGGGACGGGGCAGGAAACACTTGGCTGGGGACAGGGATGGGCATGAGGACGGAGGTAGGCCCTGGCGTTGCCCATCGGGGGTGGGGCGCGTGGTTGCCCCAGCCCACCCCAGCCATCCCCTCCATTGGTGGGTTGATCCGGTTCTGTCCCGGGGCGCGGCAGAGTCCGACTGGGCCAGGCCGTGCTGTACAGAACGCTGGCCAGCGGGGGGGGGGGGGGAAACTGAGGCACACACTGTGCTGGGAAGGATAGTCCCAGTAATTCGCGGGCTGTTGGGGGGGGTTACAGAGGGGGTGGGATGCGGGGTAGCTGGGGGGGGCGAGCCACGGGGGCTGTGTGACGTCTCCCCCCCACAGGAAGGAGTTCTGTGAGCTGTGCCTGGCCCGCGAGCGCCGGACCGACCGGCTCGTCGTCTGCAAGCGGTTCCGGAAGAAGGACGGCAGGAAGGTTCGCCAGGCGGCCCGGAACGAGATCCTCATCCTGAAGATGTAGGTACTGGAGCAGCCCCCCTCCCCCCCCGCAGCCGGGCCGGGAGTACTGGCAAAGGGGGGGTCCCTGAGAGCCTTCGGCACCCGGCTCCCAAGTCCCCTTCCTCCAGTCACCCTCCCCTCCTGCAAGGGGAAACTGAGGCAGGCCCGGCCTTCAGAAAATAACACGCAGTTGCACATTTCTGGCCTTGCTGCGTCTGTCGCCCCCCCGGCACTGTTCCCCTTTGCTCTGCAGCTCGGGGGGGGCCCTCGCCCTGCCCAGGGATGAGGAGGTGGGGGTGTCCCGGCCTCTGGGTTCCCGTTGCGAATGACTCTGTCCTCCGGCCAGTCCCTCCCCTTTGCGCTCAGTGCATGGCAGAGGGAAACTGAGGCAGGCCTGGGCATCCTGGCGCTTGCCAGAATTGCCACGTGGGAGTCAGGACGTCTCTTTCGGCAACAGCCCGCGTGGATCTGCTGTGCTGGGGGGGGGGGGATCTGCAGCAGGGGAGGGCAGGCGGGAGGGGGGATCCCTCTGGAGCGGGGGAGGGCAGGCCGGGGGCAGGAAGGAAGCTGTGCCAATTGCTTGCCCCCCCAATTCCTTCCCCCCCCCAGGGTGAGTCACCCCAACATCCTCCAGCTGATTGACACCTTTGAGACACGCAGGGAATTTTACATCATCCAGGAGCTGTGAGTGCTGGGGCCTGGGGGGGGGCGACCTCGGGGCGGGGAACGGGGGGGGGTGTCCCAGGGTTTGGGGGGTATTGGCTGGAGGCTGATCCTACCCTGGGAGGAGAGGGGAGTGGGGGGAGTGAGGGGATATGGGTTGGGGCACCCCCGGGGCTGGGAGCAGGGGGGAGGGGAGGGGACCCCGGGGCAGGTAGGCAGTAGGGGGGAGGGCGCTCCAGGCTCAGGGGGGCTCGGGGGTGCCCCAGGGCTGAGCCCGCTGGTGCCGCCCCCTGCAGGGCGACGGGCGGGGACGTGTTCGACTGGATTCTGGACCTGGGCTGCTACACGGAGCGAGACGCCAGCAGCCTGACCCGGCAGGTGCTCGAGGCCCTGGCCTATCTGCACAGCCTGCACATTGTGCACCGCAACCTCAAGGTCAGGGACCCCGGCGTCCGGGCTGCCCCCACCCCCGCTCTACCCACCAGGCCCCACTCCCCTCCCAGAGCCGAGCAGAGAACCCAGGAG